CTGTTATCACACATCACCTTGCTTATGTGGTAAGGATGTTTCTTTGGGGGAATGGACTAATGATTGTGGCAAGGGCTCTGCTGCTAATATCCCCAATTGTACGTGGCTGGTAAGCTTCCATTACCTGAGGTGCATGGGGTAGGTTTCTTCTCCAAGTCAGCACAAATGTAATGACCCAAAATACCATCATCCATACGTTCTGGATCCGGGAAGTTTCATTTTAGTGGTCATTTTCAGTCCTTGCTGAGGACAATAGCAGGATGAGCTTTAGAGCATGCTTTTCCCATGTAATTCACAGCTAGATTTGCTCTGAGTTATGAAACTTTCTGTATTTTTTTCAGCTGTTGTTTTTGCATTCTCGTGATTATATTCTGTTTTCCCTTATGTGGTGCTCATCTACGATCTTAATTATCTGCCTCTCATTGCCAACTCTGTGAACTATGAAGCTAATTTGAAAAGGAAAGTTCTGCCTGGTAATTTTAAAAATATGAGGCATTATTGAGGTTTTTTCCTGGACCACTGATTAGAATAAATGTAGTAGTTTGGAAGTGAAGCTTTGGACTCTTCCCACTTGCTTAAATTAAGACAATGAGAGTTGAGGGAAACCTGTCCTGATTAAAAGTAAATGGATAAATAAGAAAAGCACCTCCCTCTCCTCTCCCCAGCGTGCTTCCCTGGTTGCCACACATTTTGGATTGAGTTTACAAGAAACCCTTAAGGATTCTGCCTCTCTAATGATACGTCTTAGCAGTGTCTTGCTGCTGTCGAAGGTCCGTGGTGAATGTGGAAGTCAATGGGAGGTTGGGGCTGGGATCTGCTCCCTGCTGTAGCCTTTCCCATGGGCCTCGTGCTGCTTGATATCTGCTTATGCACTGAGCTGATTTTATGGAGTCATAGAGTCAATAAGATTGGAGAAGACCTTTAAGATCACCACGTCCAACCCACCTCCACCATGTCCACAAGCCACGTCCCAAGGTGCCACATCTCCACATTTCTTCAACACTTCCACCTTTCTTTCAGAAGAAAAGGTGTTACAGGCACAATGAATCTTTATAAGCTAATGACCACTTTTAAGGGAAAAGAAAGAGAAGTTGAGTTCTTCCCACTGAAGAGACGTGGAAAGCAGCAGTAGGAAAGCACATACATGCACAGCTCTGCTGCTCTGAGCTTTTGGGTGTAGGTGTGGGTCACTCTGTTGAGGAGCTTTTATCAAAGCATTGGTTGGAAGTGTGAATACTATGTGGTGTTTCCAGATGAGTAGTATGTAAAATATGGGATCTTGTAGTCTTTTCTGGATGCTTTTTTTTTTTTTTTCTTTCTTTTTGCTGTGGTTTGTTTGTTTTTGCTTTCTTTTGTTTTATTATTATTTTTTTTTTCTCACCTGGAGGAAAACGTTATTAAAAATAGAGCCCAGAAAAGAGGAATAATATTATCTGAAAACGTGATAAGTTGTATGGTCCTAAGTAGGTCAAATGTGGGAAACTGGGTGGTCTAACTAAAAAACTGCCACCAAGGGGAAGAAAGACTTCCCGTTCTTAAGAGAATATAATGCATGAGCGATGAGACGGTCTGGGGGGACGATGGAGGAATGCACTTAAGAGAAAAGGATGAAATAGTGCATAAGAAAAATGTGAATGGTGCTGAGAGATTTTTTTTGGGGGGGGAAGGAGAAGATTTTCTTTGGAATAGACTCTCATGAGAGAGCCTCTAATTCTTGGGCCATTCAAAAAAGGCTCAAGAAGGAAAATACAGGGAACAGTGCGTCGAGAGGGAGATGTCGGGGCCATAAATTTTAGGGAAACTGTTAAAATGTGAGTATGACCTACATTTTTTTGGGAATGCTTTCAAACGTCTTTGCTGTTCCTTCTCCTCTGCTGAAGTTAAAGCCATGTGCTGGGTTGGAACCAGGAGGACCTGATGTCCAGAGCCTTCAGGCACCATGTGGGGCTGCAGGGGTCCTCTGAGGTGTGGGACAGGTTTATAGCAAGGCCTTTGTATGGGATCTCCAGCCCAGCTCATGTCTCTCTTGCTGGAGGAGACGGGAAAGTTTTTTCCATTAAAATACGACCCAAATTAGCTTAATGATCAGAGAATATTATGATAAAATTGGTTCCCATGCTTCGTGAGACATGATCAGTCTGGAGGTGTTCAAGGCCAGGTTGGATGGGACCCTGGGCAGCCTGGTCTAGTATTAAATGTTGAGATTGGTGGCTCTGCCTGTGGCGGGGAGTATTGCAGCTTGGTGATCCTTGAGGTCCCTTCCAACCCAAGTCATTCTATGATTCTGTGATTAGTGGGCATGGTGGTGATGGGTCAGCGGTTGGGCTTGACAATCTTTGTGGTCTTTTCCAACCTTTATGACTCTATGACTCCCGAAGCCATCAGAAAAGCAGGAATACGAGCAATTTTTACCAAGCCTGGTGGTGTGTCTTCAATGTAGCTAAGTGATGGGATGAGTGGTTTCAGCTTAAGGCCAGAGGGACATGTGTTGTACCCACAGCCTGGTGGCAGCTGCATGGAGAATGTCCTTATGGAGGAGCCCTGCGATGAGGTGGGCAGGCAGAGGGTGGGACAGAGGGTGATGGGAGGGAGACCCCGAGAGGGAGCTGGGTGACAGGACACCTCTTGGCCTTTCAGTCATGAGGAAATGTGTGAGGAGGGTGAGGGGAGCAGGGAGGAGCTCCTCTTGGGTGCCATCAGAAAGCTCAGTTGGAGGGAAGGCCATTTCAGCTGGCACGAATTGCTGCGACGTAGTCCTAGAAATGTTCCAAATCTGGTCTTAAAATAACTGATTGGTTTCAGACCGGCCTTTGGGAGATGAACTGCTTTCAAGACTTCCATGAGGTCCCCAAGGTCCTGTGTGGCTTTGGGATATGGCAGCTTCTGTGCATTCGCTAATGGGGAATTAATTACCTGCTGACTTCCATGGCATGTTGCGTAAAGCCGCTCTTGGTTGGTCCTTTGGGGCTCCTGCCTTCGGTGGGGCCCAACAGCAATTTAATAAGGATGAGGCAGGGGGGGAAAGCCTTCAATTAGGAGGTTTGCATCACTCGTTGGTAGCAGGCTGTGCTGAGTTAGAGAGCGGCTTCGCTCCAAATCCCGGCGGTGCTGCTGGGAGATAATTGAGTTCTTCTTCCACTTGTGTAGGTTTTGAGGAATGAGGCAAAGCAAAGTTTAATGGATGCCTAAAATCTGATCCCAGCAGTGCTCGAGTGGGAATATGGAAGTTCTCCTATTGCAGACTGAGAGCAGCAGCATAGCATAGGGGCTTGAGCACCAATACAGATTCATAGAATAGAGTTGGAAGGGACCCATAAGGATCACCGAGTCCAATTCTTGTAGAAGAAATGCAGAAGGCAAGAGATACAGAAGAAAGAAACAGAAATTGCCCAGGTCCCCTTTAGCTGAGGCCCTTTTGAGGCAGCCTGGCTGTGTAACGATGGAGTAGCTGCAGCATCATTAAATTAGCATCGGGTTTTCTTTTGTATTTCTTTGTTTTCTTGGTAGAAGAGGTTGGGGTCTGGTGCCTTTCTCAGGCAGGTGATATTTGTTGTTGCGTCTTGTTTGTTTTGCGAATTCCAAATGAGATTTTGTCTCCTACCAGTTCAAAGCAAGGCCTTGTCCCTTCTCTGAAATGTTTATAATCCCATTTCAGACATAAAACAGGACGGGCGCGGGGGAGGGAGGCAGAAACAGACAGGGAGAAGCCAGCGAGGAGTTACATAGCCTGGGGGGACCTGGAGGGCTCAGCAGGTAGATGACATCTGAGGATCCACGTGGCTGCACTGCCCTGCCTGGGTGGGGTGCTCAGATGTAGCTTTTGGTAAAACCAAACCCCTACAAAGGCACGGCCTCAACCACCAGAGCCTTGACCCCTGTGCCATGCCTGGCGTGGGTGGGTGATGCTCATGGAGGGGAAACCCATGTGGTTGTGTTATGGGAGCATATTGGGATATGACTCTCATCTGGAGGCTCAGACCCCATGGTGGGTGAGGCATGACCACCATGAGAGAGAATGAGCTCAAAAACTCGTTTATTTTCTCTTACTGAACTGGCCTGTCTAATAGAACAGGTATTAATCACCCAAGCATCTTTTCCTTAAACTCTCTGATGTTTGTGGCTTAGCATCACTGAGAATCAGTGCAAGAATTTCAGCTGCTCCTTCCAGCATTGCTGGTCCCCTTTTGATGTTCACCAACACTAAAAATCTGGTTGTTTCACTGTCCCCATCATTAGGTAGATTGGATGTTTGTACATCTTAGGGTTTGTAAAGGGGAGGGTTGCACAGCACCATGTGCCACATCTGCCCAAGGATATTGGGAAACGGGTACAGAGGGGTCACAGAATCACAGAGTCACAGAATGGCCAGGGTTGGAAGGAACCTCAAGGATCACGAATCTCCAACCCCCTGCCACATGCAGGGCCACCAACCTCCACATTTAATACCAGCCCAGGCTGCCCAGGGCCCCATCCAACCTGGCCTTGAACACCTCCAGGGATGGACGGGGCATCCACAGCCTCTCTGGGCAGCTGTTCCAGCACTTAACACATCTCATAGTAAGGAACTTCCCCCTGATGTCCAACCTAAATCTTCCCTCCCTCTACTTTAAAACCATTTCCCCTTGTCTTGCTGTTAGAATTGTTTCAGTTGGAAAGGTCATCTAGTCCAACTCAAGTACACTTGGACATGTATTTGTGTTTGTTCCACTTAGTGTTTGGACTAAAATCAGTCTTCATTACGTACTTGGGTTGAGTTGTGCAGGTATCATAGAATCATAGAAGAGCCTGGGTTGAAAAGGACCACAATGATCATCCAGTTTCAACTCCCTGCTATGTGCAGGGTCACCACCCAGCAGACCAGGCTGCCCAGAGCCACATCCAGCCTGGCCTTGAATGCTGGAGGCAGGCGTGCTTTGTGTCATTGATGCAGTGTGCTGTATGTGCAATTAAATGATTAACTCAAAGCCTGCTTACTTGACTTCATCCTCTCTGCTTTCCAGGGTGCCCGAGAAACCTTTGAGAACTACTACAGGAAACAGAGAAGAAAACAAGCCCGGCTGGTGCTGCAGCCTCCTTCCAATATGGTATGGCCGTGCCCTGGTCAGCGCTTGGGGTTCCTCCTGATGGAGCAGCCCAGCCTTATGGATGCTCTCTTCTTTCATTCCCATTTTGCTTTCCTTTATTTCAACCTCTGCTCACTTTTCCTTTGTTACAGCATGAAACTTTGGACGGCTACAGGAAGTACTTCAATCAAATTGTAGGGTAGGTGTTTTTTTTATATGGGCGCTAAATGTGTGCGTGCTGCGTTTGTCTGGAGCCCAGAAGGGAAGAGAGAGGAGGGAATATTGTTCTTATTTTGTGTCTGTCCTTCAAAAGGAGACAAACCGACAGAAAACTTGGTGAACTTCGCTGTGTGCAGCCATAAGAACCTGCCAGCTCTGGGAGCACCTCCTACCTGCCCTGCTAATGAGGCAAATAGGCCCTCTGCCTTAATGATTCTTTAATATTTGACAATTATTTGATTGTTTTCTTGCTGAAGGAGGTGAGTGCAGTGTGTGCTGCTGACCTAACACAGCTTCAGGCTTCTGGACTGGATTTTCCCTACAAAATATAACAGAGGTTTTGCTCGTTCCTGTTTAAAATGGTGTTTTGGGACACTTGCTCCCTGAATCGTGCTGCTGCTTTTGGACCAATGCGTTTGATAAATGAGGACGGGAGTGAACTGATTGCCTCTAAATGGTGCTGAGAGCATGGGGTAGAGAGCACCAGAGTGTTTTCCCTGCAGTTAAAGTGTTCTCCCTGCAGTTAACCCATTGTAAGGCGATTGCTGCTGGCTGGGGCAGAGTTCAATCAGCAGTTCTTGTTCAAATAACGGAGTGGAAAAGCTCTGCCTTTGTGTGTGCACAGAGTTGCATTACTGGGAACAGCTGGCTTTTGGCTCACTGCTATAATGCAGTGTGGCATCGTAGGAAATGCAATAACATTAAAAAATAAAGTGAAGAAAATATCTATCCTTAGCAATAATTGGGATGGATGCTGCGGATCTGGGCTTGCTGTGGAGATCTGTGCACATGCAATGCATGTCCCTTGCATCCAGTGCTTGCAGATCTCTTTTGATGCCTGTGACTTCTGATAACAGTGCCATTTTCTCCTCCCCATCAGGTTTTTTGTAGTCGAAGATCACATCTTGCATACAACGCAGGGCTTGGTAAATAGAGCCTATATTGATGAGCTGTGGGAGATGGCGTTATCAAAAACCATTGCAGCACTAAGGACACACTCAGTAAGTAAAAGCCCCAGATTGCTCAGCTGTTGCTTGAGTTGGGTTTGACGTGCTGGAAATGTTGGCTTTCACAGTACTACTCTGTTTTGACTTCACTCTTTTTTAAGCAACAGAGGGAACACACTGCTGTTCCTCCAGTAGAACTCTAGGGCTTGTTTGGTTCACATTGCACTGTATTTGCCTGTGCCAAACTTGCAATATCTGGGGAGGCTGGAAAGGAGAAAATAGCACTTCAGTGTTTTCCATTGCTTGGCTCATCACTTTTGAAAAGCACCAGCAGAGGGAGTCTGGTTGTCCTGGAAAACTGGGGAAAAAAATGCATGACCTGATAATATTGCACTGTTTCAGCTGGGAGCACTTGAGTTGTCTTGATGTTTCATAGCTTGCTGAAGAGCCGCCCTGTTGGTTTATGGGATGAAATAAACTACATTTGACCATAAGAGAAGAATCTTGAATGACTTCCCCCAAGTCCATTTTCAAATTGTTGGGCCTGAATTACTGGAATCCCACTGCTGCTCTTGGAGGGAGCATCATTCAGCAGCAGGAGGATGTATGGGGTGCTTGTTGTGGGCATGCATCAACACTGAGCGTGGGACCTGAGCAGTACAGTGCTCCTTCCATGCCCCAAAAAGGGACTAGGCAGGGAGTTACACACCTCCTTGTGTTATAAAGCTGCACTTCTTGTCCCTGGAGGTGTTCAAGACCAGGTTGAATGGGGCCCTGGGCAGCTGGTCTAGTATTTGATATGGAGGTTGGTGGCCCTGCCTGATGATCCTTGGTGTCCCTTTCAACCCAAGCCATTCTATGATTCTTTGATTCTTTTTTTATGAGTGGAGTTTCTTGCCTGGCATGCTGGCCACGATGGACAGATGTGTACACACACTCTGCTTTCACCTTTACCACCACGGCCATCAGTTGTAGGCTCTAACCTAGTGCAGGAAGTGGCTGTCAGGAGTTTATTTTTCAGTAATCACAAAATTTGCCACAATTTCTTAATGCTATTATTGTGGTCAACTCTGTCATCTCTGCAGAGCAGTGCTGTCCATCCCGTGTTGCTGGTGAGACTTGCTGGAAAGCTTCTGCACAGGTTGAGACTGTTCCAGTTCTTCCCATTCAGCCAAATGTAACGCCTGTATTTTCTTCCTTGCTATAGACTGGGACATCTTTTATCATTCCTGATAGCTTCAGGGCATTATCTTTCTTTCTGACTTTCTTTTTTGGAGAGTGAAATGGAAAACGTGTCTCTTCCAGTCTTTCTCATTGATTAATGGAGCCATTCCCCCTTGAGTTTCCAGTGAGCTTTAAATCTCAGTCTCTTTTTTCCAGCATGTGATTCTATATTAGGTAAGAGCCTGTCTGAAACGTTGCATATTTCGACAGGGCTGAGGTTTGCTGCTGGTGAGCAGATAGGGTGGGTGATGCTGGGTGTCCCTGGGGTGATGCTCAGGTCTGTTGTGGGGTGCAGGAGTGTCTTCAGAGCCTCAGGCAGCATCCTGACCCACAGTAAATACACACATCTGCTGTAGCTCTGACCATTAGGTTGCTGAAAGGCACGCAGTGTGTTTTTCCTCAGCCTGAACCTTCCACTTAGCAATGCAGCCTTGGCTTAGGGCTCGGGGATGCCTCGCTGCAATGCTTCATTACCATTAGACACAACACACTAAATATTACATGAGAGGCTCTGCTGTCTCCTTGCCATGGCAGCACACTGATTTGCTTCATCTCCTCTCACTTCCCCAGCAGCTCCTGGGTAATCTTAGAAACACTCCAGGTATCTGGAGAGCAACTGAAATCCTTATTCATCACGGAGAGCCCCATGAGCTGTGCACTACCAGGAGAGATACCCTTATCAGTGTGCCTTCCCGTGCCCTGCAAGCCTTCAAGGCATGGACTGTGCAATAAGCACCGCTGATCCTAGGGCTGCACAGTGTGCCTATTTATTATCACTGGAGTGATAAGGCAGGGGGGCTGAGAGCAATATTTTCCTGCATGCTGTGGTTTAAAACCTGTTTTAATGCTCTTTGCAGTCGTATTGCTCAGACCCAAGCCTGGTGTTAGACTTGAAGAACCTCATCGTCCTCTTTGCAGATACACTCCAGGTAGGTGACTGTTTTCTGTTGGCCAGCAGGCATGTTTGCAGGGAGGGTTTGCATGCAAGCTCCCTAAACACAACAAATGCTGCTCAGTGATGTCTTGTTAGCTGATGTAGTTGCTCTGTTCCTCCACTCGTGGCAGGGATATGGCTTCCCAGTGAACCAGCTCTTCGACATGCTGTTGGAGATCCAAGACCAATACAGTGAAACGCTGCTGAAGAAATGGTCGGGAGTTTTCAGGTAAGAAGCTCTTTAAGTAAACTCATGAGACATGCCTCACAAAGTACTTTTAGCCAAGAAATAAAAGTGTTACTTGAATCATAGAATGACTGGGGTTGGAATAGACTCCAGGGATCATCAAGCTTCAACCCCCTGCTGCATGCAGGGCCACCAACCTCCTTATCTATTACTAGGCCAGGCTACCCAGGGCCCCATCCAGCCTGGCCTTGAAAACCTCCAGGGCATCCACAACCTCTCTGGGCAGCCTGTTCCAGCACCTCACCACTCTCTTGCTAAAGAACTTCCCCCTGATACCATAGAAGCATAGAATCATAGCATGAAAGGGACCTTGCAGCCCCCCCAGCTGTAGCTTTCTTGCTTTCTTCTTTTCTAGAAATATACTTGATTCAGATAACTACAGTCCCATCCCAGTGACAAATGAAGAGATTTATAAGAAAATAGTTGGACAGTTCCCATTCCAGGATGCAGAACTTGAAAAGGTAATGTGAAATGCAACTGGCACGGCGTGACTCCCAGTGCACTGAAAGCCCACACCTCTGTTACTGGCATTGAGAAGTAGAAATGAGAAGGTCCCAGCAACACAAAACAAAAAGAGAAAAGGACAAATAGATTTTCCATGTGTTGCATTTCTCCTGGCGTGGGTGAGGAATACCTCATCCATTTTGCTTTCAGAGCACAGTGTGCTATTGCAGTTCAGCATCACTTGCAGTAGATGGGAGAGAGATGAAAATATCTCTTTCCATTGATGTTTTATTTCCATTGTATGAACCGTTATTGACTTTAACTTGTTTTAATCTAATGCTATCTAACAAAAAAGACATAAAACCAACAAAAAACAAGAAGTGGTATATCTTGGCTTTTATAAAAGTGCGTGCATGCAGAACCTAACAGTGTAGCCAGATTTGACCTAGGCAGTGTCCCTTAAAAGCATGCTTGGCCTTGTGCTCCACATCTGGCAGCCAGCGAGCTCCAAGCCTGGTGAACTTAATTATGGCTGGGAGGGTTTTCAGTCCAAGTCAAGTGTTTAGATTTCAGAAAGTCTGTGGCCTTCCCTAAGACTGTATCACGGGGTCCAGGTTTTACTGCTCTGCTCCGCACCTCCCAGCCACATCTGTGCTACGAGTGAGAGCGAGCTAGTGAAAATTTGGGTTGTGAGGGAGAGGACATCTGTTTCCTCTTGGCTTTTGTGTTGTAAGCAAGTGCTCACCTTGTGCGGTAACTGGGGAGGTGAGCAAGCAAAATGCCTGTGTGTGGTGGGAAGTAATAGCAAAGAATCCTCTGATAGGGTTTTTTTCTTACGAATAAGTGAGTTGGGAAAGAGGGAATAAGAATTGCTTTGTGCTGCCTGTTCCCTTCTAGCTACAAGTCTCCTTCCAGCCTGTTGCAGACTCCAAATCCCCTATGCACCCATGTGCCGTTTGTAAGTGATTATCTGGTCTTTCACTTGGCTGAAATGTTTATATAATATACAATAAATGCTGGCTTGTTGTTTCATTGCTGGACTCAGATAATATTAGTATTAATTTGGCTGCTTGGAACATGTTACTGGAAAGCAGTCGTCACTCTGGGCTGGCTGTGAGAGCAGTTCTCCCTCTTAAAGATCTGCTCTTTGACTTCAGTTCTCTCCTGTTCTTTTCAGCAACCGTTTCCAAAGAAGTTTCCCTTTTCTGAGTTTGTGCCTAAAGTTTACAATCAGATTAAGGAATTCATCTACGCCTGTCTGAAGTTTTCAGAAGATCTTCATTTGAGGTAGGGGATGATTGTGTTCCTGGTCATGGGGGGTTGGAAAGGACCTCTAGAGATCATCGAGTCAAAAAAAGAAGTTTTGTTGGCATTGAAATATTTCAGTGTGATTAAAATATGAGTTCTCAGCCTTCCATGCCACTCAACTGCCTGTGTATACACTGTCCAGGATGGAGGTGGCTGGTGGGCCCCTTGGAGCATTGGCCATCCAAGTCTTCCATAAATCTCCCATATGTAGGAAAAAAGAGCCCAGTGCCCATGCTAGGTGTGTAAAAGGGGAGAGAGCCAATCCCTCTGAGTCATGGTAGATGGTTGGATCCAATCTTTCCAAGAAAGGTGGATCAGTGCCTGGTTAGTGATGGCTACCCAGCTTCCCTACATTGTCCCTCAAGGAGTGTGTTGGCCAGAAAACCCAAGGTTTGATTATGCCCTGTGTGGTGCTTAGTTCTGGCTTCTGGTTTAGGGATCTATATATATATATTTCTCATTGGAGAATATGTACAAATATTCTGTTTTGTGTTTTCCTCCATCCCACTGCTCCTAGATACTGGGCTTGCACGTGTGCTGAAGTGGAAGACAACTCTATTAGCCAGAAATTGCTTTCTTTTTGCACCCAGTGAACGCTTTTACCTTGGTAGAAGCATCAGGAGGGCAGAAGGACCTCATAGAATCATACAGTGGCTTGGGTTGGAAGGGACCTCAAGGATCATATAGCTCCAACCCCCTGCTGCAGTCAGGGCTGCCAACCTCCCCATTTAATATTAGAGCAGGCTGCCCAGGGCCCCATCCAACCTGGCCCTCATTACTCATTTCTAGTGTTCTCAGTGCCATACCAGTAAAATCTGGGTCTGTCCACAGGGTTTCACCTCCCTGGGCAATTCCATGCCATGGCCACGGGCAGCCCCTGTGCTAATGTGAAACTCAGGCAATGTTTTGGGGTCTCACCAAATGTTAGGGTGCCCACTTCGGGTTCTTTCAGTTCTTTCCCTTTGTGAGAGGGATGGTAATTTTGAGAGCCACTCTCCCTCCATCTTCCCCAGGACGTGGTGTGCAAAGCACAGGATGTTGCTCCCCCTCCTCGGGTTCAACCTCAGCCATTCACTGGTGGCAGGTTGTTCTCTTTGGTGCCTCCCAAGGCTCTTAACCTGCAGGTCACCACTAAATGGCTCTGTTTCTAAGGCAGGCGGGATGGTCCTATTTCACACGGATGCTGGTTTCACAGAACCCCTCGGCTGGCACTTCCCTCACAAGTTTTGTGCTCTTCACCATTACAGAGATGATTGGGTTTGTCAGGGAATGGAAGAAAAGCGTTCCCTGGGGCCCCTCCTCGGGGTCCCCCTGGACAAGTTATTAAAATTCCTTTCAACATTGGATTTTCCAGCCCTTTTTGAGGAGTGGTTTGGGGCTGGGGGAGGGGAGCCGAGCTCTTGGACATTCTAGCCAAACATTTGGAATATTTCTCTAAAAACCCCTGTTGACACTTTCTTCATTTCACCCTGACAGCTTGAATTAGGCTTTATTAGGAAGCTTGGCTACAAAGCCGGCAGCAAGTTTTCTTTCTCTTCTCTTTCTTGTTCTTCTTTGGTTGTCATTTACCTTGCACCCTGGAGTGATTGGGGTCAGCCCGTCAGTCACGGGGGGCCTGAAGGTCATGACTACTGCTATGGGATATGGGACATCAGCTGTCACTAACCCAGACAGTTTGCTTAAACGCTCTGCAGTCTTTTCCTGAAGAACAGAGCCCGTGGCTGAAAATGTAGCTTGTATTTTTTCTAATTATTATTTTAAACTAGCTCCTTGTATTTGTTGGATGGGAGTAGACTCCTTTATGTTGATATGCTTATGAAAGTTGTTTTGCTTTTAAAGTATTTGAAGAAAATGTGGAGCTTACTGTGCATTTCCAGGGCTTGCAAATTCTTTTGGTTTGGCTCTATTAATTTGATTAGGAGAAAGAAAACCTCCTTTATATATTCAGCATTTCTCCCTTTGGGAAAAAAAAGAAAAGCTTGTGTATGAGCTCATTGAGGAGACGTCTTTAAGAGCATCCATTCACTGAAGAGCTCCCACCCATTCCAGTGGAATTTCCCATTCTAAAGATAGGGAATATCTTTGGAAAACAATGGGTAGAAGTGGGAGATGGCAGCTCTGATCCACCAGGACTTGGATTGTTTTGTTCCCAAACAAAGCAGCGATCCTGGAAGCACTTTGGATGCAATTATTTAAAGGGCTGCGAATAATTTAGGTCATAAAATTATTATTAATAATAATAAATTAGAGCCTTAAGCACCTGAATCAGCCTTTTTTTGGGTGAGATTCTGCTCTGCATTGGTTCAGCTTGAAGGTGCTGGGCGAGACCCAGTGCTCGTGGTGAGCCCTCATGGATGCTTCTTTGTGGCACTGCTGCTCCTGGTCACATCCTGCTCAGAACCAGATTTCTTCCAAGGAATATTCCTGCTTTGTTTTCATGTGTACAAACTTCGTGGAAGATGGAATCATAGAATTGCTCAGGTTGGAAAAGACCTTCATGATCATCAAGTTTAACGTCACAGATCTTTGTGCTCTGCTGGCACCCAAACACAGGAGTCACCTGGCTGCTTTGTCCAACACATAACCATCACTTCAACCTTATTTTCTAGCTTACATGGTCAGCTAACAAAATGATAGCAGGAAGCCTTTGAGAACAGCACTTGATTTCAGAAAAAAACTCAGAAGTGATTTGAAGAGGTAAACACTGCATGGAGGTGCTGGGCGTTATGAAGCACAGCTTGTTCATGCCATGGAGGCTCTCATGGATGAAACATCGCTGTGATTCCCACTGATGAGGCCAGCACTGGAGCCAGCACAGTGTTTGGTGACACTGCAGTCAGGGATGGGACACCCACTGACTAGCACTGACACCCATTGGGCTGGCAGTGTGACTGTCATGGGCTGTGCACACAGCCAGCCCTGAGGTTGTTGGATTTTGATACCCTAATGACAGGTTGATGGTTGAATTCATAAACCAAGCTTTTACAGCACAATCTAGTTGATTGTTGGGTTGTTTTGAGGAGAAAAGTGGACACAGTGCCCAAAAGTGCTCATTTTCCATCAACCACATCATCACCATGCTCCACTCTCTGCCTCCTGTGCTTCCAGAATTCTTGGGGATGGGCTTAGTGAATCTGTGATTTCATGATTTTCCCTTACAGCTCCCCAAGGGCACCCAGGGCTGGTTTGGAGGCACAGCTTCATGTGCCATGTTCATAGAATCATAGAATCATAAAATGGTCTGGGTTGAAAAGGACCACAGATCATCTAGTTTCAACCAGGCTGCCCAGAGCCACATCCAGCCTGGCCTTGAATGCCTGCAGGGATGGGGCATCCACAACCTCCTTGGGCAACCTGTTCCAGTGCTTCACCACCCTCTGTGTGAAAAAATTCCTCCTAATATCCAACCTAAAGCTCCCCTGTCTCAGTTTAAAACCATCCCCCCTTGTCCTATCACTATCCACCCTTGTAAAAATAGCTGTTCCCCCTTCTGTTTATACACTCCCTTCAAATATTGGAAGGCCACAATAAGGTCTCCCTGCAGCTTTCTCTTCTCCAAGCTAAACAATCCCAGTTCCCTCAACCTTTCCTCATAGGAGAGGTGCTCCAGCCCTCTGATCATCTTAGTGCCCTCCTCTGGACCCTCTCCAAGAGCTCCACGTCCTTCCTGTGCTGGGGGCCCCATGCCTGGAAGCAGTGCTCCATCCATCCTTTGCTCCATCCACCTTTATTTTTGCCCATTCTGAGCATGGCTCCAGCCCTTGTGACACTCCAGCTCGTGGTTCCCACACTCTGCTGGCAGCAGCAATCAATTCCCCCCATGCCACGAGGTACCCTCGTGTCACCATGTCACTTTTTTGCCATCTGTGGACCATCGCAGCATTAGGTTTTAATGTTCTTTCTATACTTAACTGTGCTATTGTCTGGTGGAGAGGACTGGGGACGATCTGGTCCTTTCTGGGGGATGATGGAAAGCCTGGGCTGCGTGTGTGTGCATGTGCTGGGTTTTGCTTTTTCTTTATGGTTTTCTTTAAGTAAAACCTTCTTAGAGAGCCATTGCCACAGTGTAAAGACAAGGAAAAGCTCTGTGGCCAGTTTCTCTTCCCTTCATGTTCCATTCCATGCTTTTGAAACCAAAATGCATCATCTTGGAGCTGACATCCCAGCCCTGCCAGGAGGAGCCCAGGGATCTGAGACATGACATTGGCTGGCCCTGATCAACATGGCACAGGAGGTGCATCCACCCTCAGCAGGAGCAAGAGAAACTCCCAGGGATCAATAGCAGTGACCCAGAAGAGACCAGCACTGAGACTTGGGCTGGTGGCGTTGCATTTAGGTTATCAGGATCCTGCTGAGCTGCTGGTTCTATTCTCCTTGCATCCAGCTGGGAAGGGGGTAAAGGTCAGCAGGAGCACAGCCTAGAAAAGCTGACTTTTCAACAGCAGGGAATATTAGAGAAAGCTGCTGGTGAGCTCAGTGTGGTGAGCAGCTGCTCTGTGTATGGGGAGTTGTGCAGCTGGGCTCTTCCTTGGGAAAGCTGCAGCAAGACACGACTTTCAGCTGGCTGGGACAGGAGAACAGCTCAGCTCTGTGACACGCACCGGGAGCAATGTTCCCTGCTTCTCCTGGGGACCACAGGGCTTTCTGTGCAATTCTGGTTCCTGAAGGCTGCTTCACAGAATTGTAGGGTTGAAAGGGACCTCTGGAGATCCCACTAAAGGAGTTCCCTGCAGCAGGTTGCACAGGGAAGCATCCAGATGGGTTTGAATATCTCTGGAGGAGACTCTCCCAGCTCTCTGGGCAGCTGTGCCAGGGCTCTGTCAGTCTCCAAGTCAAGAAAACATTTCTTCCTCATGTTCAGATGAAACTCCATGGGCTCTGGTTTGTGCCTTGTCCTGGCAGTGGGCACCACCAAATGGAAGCCAGCCCTGTCCTCCTGCCTCCTGCCCTTCAGACGTTGATCAGCACTGCTCAGATCCCTCTCAGCTTTGTCTCCTCCAGGTATACAATCCCAGGGTTCTCAGCCTGTCCCCATCAGGAGGTGCTCCAGGCCCCCACCAGCTCTGCACCCTCTGTGGGGCTCTCCCAGCAGTTCCCAGTCTGCCTGGAACTGGTCAGCCCAGCACTGGGTGCAGTGCTCCAGAGGTGGCCTTCCCTAGAGCAGAGCAGAGGGGAGGAGCACCTCCCTTGCCATGCTGGCCACATTCTGTGCCATACACCCTAGGGTTCCACAGGTCTTGGCTATCAGAGCACCCCGCTGGCTCATGGTCAGCCATTGGTTAACTGCTAGTCTACTGTTGGTCAACAAGATTCTACTGTGCAGAGCTCCTTCCCAGCAGCTCATCCCACAACCTGTACTGATGCTTGTGCACTACTTGGTGCTCAGAAAGATTAAGATGGTTTGGGAGACCATTCAGTCTTGCTTTGTTCAGCATCAGGTGCCCAGGGTGGACTTGGTGTGCCTGTTCTGACATTAACCCAGCAGAGAAGTTCCCAGGTATGTGCTGGGCAGAGGATGGCAATGTGTGACCCCCCCTCTCTTTGGGCACCTCAGTAGCAGTGCCCTGAGCTGTGCACCAGCGCTGCGGGCAATGCAAGGCTTGCTTTTGTTTCCCCTGTCGATCCCTGCTTTGTAATCTGGCCCATTTGTCAGGTAAAACAGGATAAGGAGCAAAAGGTCAACGGGGTTGATTTACCAGGAGCCTGAAAGTTATTAATGTTTCTCAGCCTTGCAGTTTGAAATTTTCTTTGCCATCAGCCGCCTGTCACTGCTCTGCCAGAGATAAAGCCTCGTCGTGTCAGGGCTAATGCAGGGCCAACAACAGATCAAAGGCCCCGGCTCTGGGGCTGCCTTCCAGGCCTTGCTGCAAGAAACAGAGCTTGCACCTTGCTGGCGTGCACTGATGGAGGGGCATGGCAGCAGCCCTGCAGCCAAAAGCAGAAAGCCAAACCCACCCGGCTTGAGCAAGGCTGAGGTTGTAGTCATCTGGCATGGCTACGGATGTGTTAGAATCTGGTTTACTGAAAAAAAAAAGAAAAAAAAAAAGGAGTTAAAAAAAAAGCAAGCAGTTTTTGAGTCTTTGATTTGAAGTGAATGTGCAGAATTGCAGCTTTGTGTGCTGCACAGCGCTGAATGCATCGGTGAGGATGGAGTGGGTGAGCCTTAGCCTGTGCTGGTTGGCCCCTCTGAGAGGCATAAGGATGTAGTTTTGCCCACGTTTGCCTTCTTTGGTGCAAAAAAGGCCAAAATTGTTGGTATTTCAGTACATATTTCCATGTTAGCAGCTCCAGGCAGCACGCAGGCGATCAGGTGTAACCCACAGAAGGAGTCTGAGTGAGGATGGCTCCGCATATCATAGAATTCATAGAATGGTTTGGGTTGGAAGGGACCTCAAAGATGATGAAGCTCCAACCCCCTGCTGCATGCAGGGCCACCAACCTCCACATTTAATACCAGCCCAGGCTGCCCAGGGCCCCAAACAACCTGGCCTTGAACACCTCCAGGGGTGGACGGGGCATCCACAGCCTCTCTGGGCAGCTGTTCCAGCACCTCACCACTCTCTCTGTGTAGATCTTCCCCCTGACATCCAACCTCAATCTTCCTTTCTTCAACTTCAAACCATTTCCCCTTGTCGTGCAGTTATCTACCCTTTCAAAGAGTTGAAAGGGTGTATTAGTTTTATTACAATTTTATTATTATTTTTTTTTTTGCCTTGAGATAAAGCACTTTGCAAATATCTCTTGAAATTCTGCTTTCCAGCTCCACAGAAGTTGATGATATGATCAGAAAATCTACAAACCTGCTGCTGACACGGACGCTGAGCAACTGCTTGCAGAACGTCATTAAGAGGAAAAACGTGGGGCTGACAGAGGTGAGACTGCATGTGGAGTAATTTCCAGAGCAGGGCACCAAAATGGGGTTTGGTCACTTGGAACTCATTCCAGCACCTTGTAGGGATCCTGGGTTGGAGTGTTACTGTAAAATTTTTCGTTGGAAAACAGCAAGGAAACCATGCAGTGTTGCTGTACAAAGCACAAGTCATAGAATCATAGAATGGCCTGGGTTGAAAAGGACCACAGTGATTGTCCAGTTTCAACCCCCTGCTATGTGCAGGGTCACCAACCAGCAGCCCAGGCTGCCCAGAGCCACATCCAGCCTGGCCTTGAATGCCTGCAGGGATGGGGCATCCACAGCCTCCTTGGGCAACCTGTTCCAGTGTGTCACCACCTTTGTGTGAAAAACTTCCTCCTAATATTTAACCTAAGCTTCCCCTGTCTCAGTTTATAACCATTCCCCCTTGTCCTATCACTATCCACCTTCTTGGGCTTAATTTTTACTCAAAGCAATGCTCTCTGTTTCTAATCTAAAATATCTTCTTCCAAGCAATGGAGAAGGTGATATTCAAGTCCATATTCCAAGCTTGTGGTCTGTTACCCTCTTTAATTTATTTTCATAATTGATCAGTTGGGAGGGGAAAGAAGGAAGTCTAGTATTACATATGGAGGTTGGTGGCCCTGCATGCAGCAGGGGTTTGGAGCTTAATGATCCTTGAGGTCCCTTCCAACCCAAACCTTTCTGTGACTCTTTGAAGATCCAGCAGGGTGCAGAGCCCCATGCTACCAACGATGCCAAGACTGCTGTCCTATTTGTGAAGTCAGAACTACTTAAAGTTAGATGCAGCTTTTGTATTCAGGCCTACATGTCTGGACCAATGCATTGTGATGAGAAGTTTAGGAGGAGTTTGACACAGTTGGAAATACCCAACGTTTATCTTGAAATACCCAATGTTAGCTTGAAACTGTAGGAAACTGCATCGGAGTCGTGACAGAAGAGCTGACAGAGGGAGAGGCAAACAAATGAGCGCTTGTCAGAAGGCAGAAATTGAGAACTGGATTAATCCAGCAAATTCAGAAATGAGAAGCCCTCCTGGTTGCTGTGTAATGCTTTCTGGGGACCGAGTGCAAAGCAGGAGGCGTTCAAATAGACCACAATTCAATTTCTTAAAAGCAAGCATTGCCTGGAAGGGATGCTCCTTGCTCAATCTGGGTCTCCTCAGCTTTGCTTTTTCTACCTGACTCAATGTTCCCAAAGCACAGGTCCCACAGCTTCTGTGGGCAGTTTGTAAGATCTCTCTTTGTTCCCAGCATCCAAACTGAGCCTCCCAGTCTGCGACCATTGCCCGTCTGTATGTGATCTGGCACCAGCACGAGTTGGGTGCTGCCATCTCTGCAGCTTTACTTCAATATTTATGTGTCTGCAGTGCTCAAGTTGGTGCTTAAACATAAAAGGATCAAAGAAGCAAAAAGAGAAAAAGAAACAATGCTGTGCCTGGCAGGGCGCTGCTTGTTTCCATCTCATTCAGAAGCAAATGATTTGTGTTTCTAAATAGTTTCTTTAGAAGAGGTAACTGCAGCCTACCACACCATGCTCCTGCAATTAAGTGATGTCAGTCTGGAGTATTGTAATGCCTTCTGTGTCTGCAGGAGAAGCATTTTGGCACCGTATCAGAGCTAAATGTTGTTTGGGAAGGTTTTGTTACAGCTTACCTTGCACCTTGAACATATTCACGGCGGTCTGCACAGAAGAAAGGTACCTGCTTAAGGAATTAGTGGTGTGTTTGGCTTCCAAGGCAGCCATGCTGAAGGGATTGCTTTGCTCTGGATAATAAACATTGGCATCGATTGACTTCAGCAGTCTTTGTCATTGCCTTTAATGTGTCCTGATCTCGTGCCATGCAAAGGGAGATGAGAAAGCAGCGTGATGAAAAATAGCAGATAATGGTCGGTATGAAAACCAGGGAGATAGCTGCTCACCCACACCTCCCCTGGAGAAGCAAAGCCCTTGGTTCCTTTGTGCCTCACAGTGCTGCTGTTAAGTCACTCAAGGTGCAGGTTTAGTACCTAAAGGGAGCCTACAAAGAGGAGGGGAATCAACTCTTTGAAAGGGTGAGTGACAGCAGGACAAGGGGAAATGGTTTTAAGCTGAGGGAAGGGAGATTTAGGTTGGACGTCAGGGGGAAATTCTTTACAGAGAGAGTGGTGAGGTGCTGGAACAGCTGCCCAGAGAGGTTGTGGATGCCCCATCCCTGGAGGTGTTCAAGGCCAGGTTGGATGGGCCCCTGGGCAGCCTGGTCTAGCATTAGGTGGGATGGTTGGTGGCCCTGCATGTGGCAGGGGGGTTGGAGATTCATGATCCTTGAGGTCCCTTCCAACCCTGGCAATTCTGTGATTCTGTGATTAGGGTTCGTTAGCAGCCAGAATACCCGTGGTCTGACATGGTGCTTCTTTGTAAGCCTGTTGCTGGAATGAGTGCTGACTGACAGCTGAGCATAGGAAAGTCATTAGAAAGAAATCTTCAGTGGTATTAGTGGCTGTCATGGGAAATGCTTTCTTTTTTTGTTGTTGTTGTTTCTTCAAAAAAAAATTATTTTTACATAACTCTCTGCTGCTGTTCAAGGAGGAGAGCCTTTGAGTGTGGAGTGAAGCTCAGTGTGTTTGTACAGCATCAGCATTTCCTGCCAGAAGTTCTCAGAAAGTGGCACCCATCAACTCGGCACCTCCCTGGCTTCAGGAGCAACTTTCTGAATACCTTTTCTGAATCATCCATTGGCCTTGGTTGAAAAGGGCCACAATGATCGTCTGGTTTCAATCCCCTGCTATGTGCAGGGTCACCAGCCAGCAGACCAGGCTGCCCAGAGCCACATCCAGCCTGGCCTTGAATGCCTGCAGGGATGGGGCATCCACAACCTCCTTGGGCAACCTGTTCCAGTGCTTCACCACCCATTATCTAAGAAATTAAGCAGCTTTTAATACCTTTTCTGAATACCTTTCCTGAATATCTTTTCTGAATACCTTCTCTTTGCTTTTGCAGCTGGTACAGATTATTATAAATACGACCCACTTGGAGAAATCTTGCAAGTTCCTCGAAGAATTCATAACCAACATCACCAATGTACTTCCAGAAACTGTCCACACCACAAAACTTTACGGGACCACGACTTTCAAGGTAAATGGCATCTCTGGGGAGCTCTGTCCATGTTTGGGTTGAAAGGTGATTTTATCATGGCCTGGGAGCTGAAGCCATCAGATGAGCTTCTGGGGTTTGTTTCAGAGCAGCTGTATGCACTACTCTTGTCTAGACCAAGAGCCTTTGTAGCCCTAATTTACAGGCTGCGACTGCAGTGCTCATTATCTAAGGAATTAAGCAGCTTTTAAACAAAAGCCTGACTTTAATTTTTTCTTCAATGAGCTTTCATTTTGCTGTTTGATCACCATACAGAGCTGCATGTGGCTGGCCATGAATGCAAGCTCTCTTCTTTCACCCAGGAGGAGAATAGATATTGAGAAGTTTAGTTTCCATATCCTTCTGTTCCTTTTAGTGTTGTTAAATACTAAAAGGAGAGTGGAAATGCTAAAAATCAGGGCTGAATGGAAATACTGGGATTCCCAGTCTTTAAATCATAACCCAGGAGCATCCTCCCCAGATTCTTCCCATGAAGTTTTAAGACCACAGCTGGTTCAGCTGGGGGGTGTCTGGATTCTGCCCTTTGGCCACAGAGTGGAAGGGAGCAGTGCCAGGGACTCCAGCAATAGTAGGGAATTGGCTAGATGAGGTTTCCCTTGGGATAACCCAGCAGGCCCTGTGACTCCAAAGAAATCCCTTCCTTTTCCAATCACACACCATCTTCCCATTTGGCCTAAGGATGAGTTTTTTCCTCCTTGCCCTGTCAGGAAGATTCTGAGCCCTTCTGCCAGTTTGTAGTCCCCCTACACCCAAAGTTTGGTGACTCTCATAGAATCATAGAATGGCCTGGGTTGAAAAGAACCACAGTGCTCATCCAGTTCCAACCCCCTGCTATGTGCAGGGTCACCAACCAGCAGCCCAGGCTGCCCAGAGCCACATCCAGCCTGGCCTTGAATGTCTGCAGGGATGGGGCATCCACAACCTCCCTGGGCAACCTGTTCCAGTGCGTCACCACCTCTGAGTGACACACTCAGCCTTTTTCCACATGGAACATTTTTCTCCCCTCTCTCCTCCTCCCATCCCACACCATATTTATCCTCCTTCTCCCTGGGTTTCAGCAGTCAGGCACTAGCTTGATTGTGCCTAGAGCTGACCTGCCAGGATAACCTAACCTGAGCTTATTGCAAGCTGTCTGTAGCCTACAGACACGTTGCCTTGTGCTGTTAGGGCTGAAGTTTTGGTCAGTCTAGCATCCTGTTCCTTATGGAACACCTTTGTGCTGTGGACTCTCCATCCCATATAATGTGGTGTCGTTGGACAGGACGCCCGCCACGCTGCTGAGGAAGAGATTTACACTAACCTGAACCAGAAGATTGACCAGTTCCTGCAGCTGGCAGACTACGACTGGATGGCTCTGGAGCCTGGCAGCAGGGCCAGTGATTACCTTGTGGATCTCATTGGCTTCCTGCGCAGCACATTTGCTGTGTTCACACACCTCCCGGTAAGGGGCCTCCCCATTTTCTTTCTTTTTCAGGCTGGAAAGTGCACAGGCAGCTGATGGTGCTGTTGAAACGAGTGGTTGCTTGAGCTTTATAGAGTGTGATGGAAATGGGGCCATACACTGGCCCTGTTTGACAGCTGATCAAGTGTTGTGAAGTAACAAATCTCTTTCTAAAGTAAGCTATTGCATGTGTTAGCAGAAGTGAGAGTCCCCCCAAGAATTTGCATGTCTATGGGAAAGAGGGAAATATCCCAGTCCACCAGCAGAAGCGAGATCATAACTCACTGGCCACCTATACCATGTTAGCCTTCATCTTAACAGACATTCAAGAACGATTGTTGAGAGATCTCAGTATAAGGGTGTGTATTATTCAAACTGCAGATCCATTTCCAAATGTTTGTCAAGTCACTGGGTGCCTTACATCAAAATATGGCTCTGCGTTGTAAGGCAGCATGTGTTTCTTTCCTTTCTCTGCTGTCTAAAATATGCCTGTGTTTATGCTGCTATTGTGATCAAAAATGTCTTTTATGTTGTTTTTTTGCAGTTGGCTTAGCAGTGTCCACTTGAATAGGAAAAATGTAATCATCAGGGAGTTTCATTTTTGCTCAGACAGCTTTTTTTTTCTTTTTCTTTTTTTTTTCTTTTGAACAAGATTTGTTCTGGGCTGTCTGGATATATACTTATGAGTCTCTTCAATCAGCAGGTATTTGGAAACAGCAAATCCACTGAACTCTGTATTTGTCCCAAAAGCAACTTCAGATTTTTCTTCTTTACTGGACTGCTACCTATTTGTTGATACTGTGTGTCCAGGATTGTAGAATACCAGCCACACTGTGCACATCTCTCACTAGCTTGGATAGAAACAGGAAGAGGAGGTTAATAATGCACAGTGGCAGCTTCCTGAATTTCATTCTGCTTGTTTGTGTCCAGGGATTGCATTGCTGGAAAGGATGCTCCAGCACTGCAGAACTGCTTTAGGAGGTGTCACAGCCTCAACATTTCAGCAGAACTTTACAACCTTCTGCATGGCTCATGCTGGATGGAGCTCTGAGCACCTGATGGAGCTGTGGGTGTCCCTGCTCATTGCTGGGAGTGGGACCAGATGGCTTTTAATGGTCCTTTCCAACTCAAACCATTCTGATTTGAGAATGATTCTATGTCTTTGGCCACCAAAAGAGAAATCATAGAATCATTAGGGTTGGAAAAGACATCTAAGATCATCAAGTCCAACCAGTAAAAGTGAAGGGAGCTTTGGGCAGCAGGGGTGGGACATACTGGCCCTGTCCAGGGCAAGGATTGGGACTGGATGGGTCCCTTCCAACCCAACCCATTTGATGACACTGGGAGTCCTTAGACAACTAATTGAGTTCATGCAGCAGGGGTTTGCCTGCTATTCCAGTGGGTAGGGAAGGGGTACCAGAAATGAAGATATGCTCAGCCCTCTTCTCTGCTTCACTTTGGACTCTTATTGATATTTTTAACATTCTTGTACCTCAGAGAGATGGGTGTGTTTGTACAGGGAGTGCCCCAAGGGCCCGTAAGGATCATTGAGTCCAGCTCCTGGATTAATTAACACTGAAGTTCTCAGAAAGCATTGCAGCATACCTTGCTGCTCACCACACATTTGCTGTCTCTTGTTCCATCTTTCCCTCCATCAAGGGCAGAAATCCCCTTTGTTCCTCCTGCACAGAGTGAGGGGGGTCTGCTCTGCACTGGAGCGTGAAGCGTGGCCACCAGGAGAGAGGAGGATGGGGAGAGATGCCCACAATGATTTATGAGACAGACCTGGAGTGATTTATCTTCCTTAAATATTAATGTTTCCTTTTTGAATTAATCAGAATGGTTTTGGAGATGTGGAAGGCAGCTGGTTGGTCTGGAAGGACTGTTCAGGAGGCAGCTGGTGGATGCTTGCCATGCTGCAGGAGCTGGGTAATGTGTCAGAGATGCTCAGCTGCTGCCTTCAAAGCACTGCTCAGCACTGAGTCTCCCACCATCCCCACAGACAGAGCAGTAAAGTGACACAGAGCTGCAGATTGTGCAATTGGGAGGCCTGAGTTAAATGATGGATAGGAGAGAGAGGTATCGATGCCCACAGTTGGGGTTGGATGATCCTTGAGGTCCCTTTCAACCCAAGCCATTCTGTGATTCCGTGATTCTTTTATGTGTTGGAGCTCCTTCCTTCAGAGGAGTGTTGAGGAGACCAATTCCTTGCCTGCTGCTGTCAGTTCCCTGCGGGCATCACCAGTGAGGATGAGTCAGGAAGAGCTGAAGGCTGTCGGAAGAGCACCAGCTCCTTTGATGGCTCAGCTGATTGCTTCTCAAGGACCTCTTCCCAACCACTGATTTAGAAACACTTAATAATTTCGGTGACTTTCTGAATGATTTGTAGGAGGTGAGGCGTGGGAAAGCCCCCATCTGTCCAAAGCAGCACAGAAAAATGAAGGCCATGTTTGTGAAAGCACCGCTTGGACGGGATGTGCTTCCTTTGTGAAAGGAAAGGGTGAGAGGGCCTCGAGAGGGAAAGGAAGCATCTCCCAAAAGCACAAATTGGCATTGAGTATTGTGGGGCTGCTAGCAGCAAGGTGAAGCCTTTTCCACACTGCTCATCTGTCTCCAGCTCCAAATACACCGGGGTTATCATATAGGAGATGTTGCCCTGTTGGAAATGAGTTTGCAGGTGTTGGATGACCTCACTCCAATAGCAGTAAGGAAAGAGAAAGTCAGGCATCCTTGGGTTCCTATGCGTAGCCCCAGCTCTGCGCCCACCCTTCTGTTCCCATGTCCTCACTGCTTTGGCAGTGCCCCTTCCTGCAGAGCTTTGTGCCCATTGGGTTTACACGGTGAGCACATGTGACGAGCTCTCTGAGGCTGTTTGCACTTGCAGTTGGTTTTTAGCAGGAGAAGAGTGGCAGGCAGAGGGATGAGTAAGGAGCAGGAGATGAGCTGCTCGGCGGCCCTTTGTCACGACAGCAATTACAGCAAAAAAACCCTCATCTGCTGATCAAAGAAACTCAGCCTGGGCACGCAGTGCTAAAATCACAGCAACAAAAAGAGCTGTCCTGGAACAGAACGGAACCGAAAGCCCTGATCCTGCAAAAATGCAGGCGGTTGCTTCATGTGCTGTGTGTGAGTAATTCCATTGTGCTGCACAGGGCTGCTTGTGGGCAGGAAACCTCGCTGGGGTCAAGGCTTGGAGCACAGCGGGCAGAGGGGATGGCCTTGGGGGTCACAGAGTGCTACAGGGAGAGGAGAGGAGTGAAAGGGCAGCTCCGTCCCAGCTTTGGCTCTGTGCTCCTGTTTGGGGATGGAGCGAGGCTGAATTTCTTGGGGAAGAATTGATGTCACTGATAAAGTTGGTCCTGGCTGGTGGGATGGCACAGAGACCTTGCTCCTCAAGTAGAGATTGCTATTCCAAGTGTTGAAGTAGGGATTGCAATTCCAAGTGGGGATTGCATCTGCAAGTGTTGAAGCAGGAATTGCAATTCCAGGTGGTCAAATGGGGATTGCAGTTCCAAGTGGTCAGTCAAGAATTGCAGCTCGAGGTGGTCAAGTAGGGATTGCAATTCCAAGTGTTGAGGCAGGAATTGCAATTCCAAGTGGTCAAGTGGGGATTGCAACTCCAGGCGGTCAAGCAGGGATTGCAGTTCCAGGTGTTCAGTCAAGAACTGTAAATCCCAAGTGTTGAAGTAGGGATTGCAGTTTCAAATGTTGAAGCAGGAATTGCAATTCCAAACGTTCAGCCAACAATTACAACTTCAGGTGGTCAAGTAAGGATTGCAATTCCAAGTGTTAACCAAGAATTGCACTCCCCAAGTGTTGAAGTAGGGATTGCAATTCCAAACGTTCAGTCAAGAATTGCAATACCAAGTGTTGAAGCAGGAATTGCAACTCCAAGTATTGAAGTAGAGATTGAGCAATTCCAAGTGCTCAATCAAGAATTGCAATTCCAAGTGTTTAAGCAGAGATTGCAACTCCTAATTTTTCCTTCAGAGCATCACAGCTCCTATTGCTACCCATGCCAATGGTGGTTGCTACTCCTAAAGCTGGTGGAAGATGCTTTCTCTTGGGAGTTGGGAGCCCCCAGAGCCTCTGCTTGTTGCAGTTCTGCTTTGGGATGGTGAGCCTTGGGACGCAGAACAATTTGGGGGTGAAAAGTTCATGGTGAAGTTAATGGGGCTTTGGTGCATACCAGGGCTGCATGAAATTTTCATGGTGGTTTATAGCCACAATTCGAAAATGCTCCGCTAAGTGCCCAAAATGTCTCAAAGCAAATAACATGCTGGTGGAAATAAAAGCATAATTAACATTTGGCTTCGAGGCTGCCCTCTTCCTGTGTTAACCAGTGAGGGTTGGTTACTGCTGCTGCTCTGCTTATTAATATGGGATGCTCAGGCCTCCTTTAAAAGAAAATACTTCTTTCTTCTTTTTTTTTTTTTTTTTCTTCTTTCCTTTAAAAAAATAAAAAGAAGGGGGGAAAAAAAAAAAAAAAAAGGTTTGCTGTTTTTTAGCAGAGAAAAGGCCATGGCCTCCAGAATTAACATTTCCAGCATCATACTTTTAAAAGAATGACTGAAAAAGCCTTTTGTCTTTGATGGCTGATTGTTGTTTTTATTTCTTGTTAGACAAGTTAATGTAAATCGCATTGACAGGGCTACTCCAAACACACTGATTTGTTGACATTAAGCTTTTCAGAGATGGAGGGTTGTGTCAACACCTACAGTGAACTGTCAGGTTAACAAAGCAAGGATGTTTTCCTGGGGGAGGGGAGCAGAGTGGGGGGAAGGGGTGTGTTTTGTTTTTATTTTAAGTTTCCTTTAATCCTCTGTTAGTCTTGTATCTTGATAACCTCCTTTGGAAGGTAATCAGGGCAGGTCAAGAGGTGACGGTGACCCAGGAAGGGGAAGCAATCTTTCAGCGATCGAACAAACTCCAACCTCCGCCATCCTGGGCAGTTCAGTTCAGTGGAGGGATTTCTCCTCCTCCCCCCCTCCTACCCCCCA